GCAGGGGCCATGGCTGCACAGGAGTTACGCTGGCTCACCTACCTGCTGACCGACTTGGGAGAGCCGCCTCGTTCTCCTCCTGTTCTGTACGTCGACAACAAGGCCATGATTGCCTTGTGTCAGGAGCACAGACTGGAGCACAGAACGAAGCACATAGCTCTGCGCTATTTGCTTGCTCGAGAGTTGCAGCAGCGTGGTCAGCTTCGTCTTGCTTACGTGGCCTCTCGGGCCAACACTGCTGATATCTTCACCAAGGCACTTCCGCCTTGTGATCATCAGCGTTTCTGTACTGTTCTAGGCCTTGTGCCTACTTTGCCTCACTTGCTCACTTCTTGACTTTGCTTGAACTGTGATCTATATACTTGCACCTGCATGCTTACACTTGCTAGGTTGTGATCACTGTACTGCTTGTTCTCCTTAGATATAATTCTGCTTGTGAACTGGCCTTGTGGCCATTTGCTTGTGCTCAGATTGTGTGGTGACTTCGTGATCCACCCTGAGCTTGTTTTGCCTCTCTTGACTGGTCTTGTGACCTCTTGTTCTCCCCCACTTTGCCTATGGGGGGTGTGTCAAACTTGTATGCAGCTGATTGTGTAGGTTGTAGTGGGGTAGCCCATATGGGGTACAATCCAGTTAGGGTTAGCTACTTGTACCCATCCTGCAGCTAGTTGATCCATCCCTCTTCACTATTCTGAAACTTACCTGTGATTGAAGCGAGACTGGTCAACGGCACGCCACTGGTGATACAGGAACGCGTGGAGAGAGTTCGGATTCGTTGCGAGGGTAGCTTCACTTTCACCCAGGAAATGTTGGCGACGACCCTCGACGGGACCGATATTTTACTCAGTCGTGATTTGCTGCGACGACACAACCCACACGAATAGACTGGACGACGGGTGAATGCACAGTGCGAGTCAATGGTAACAACACTGTCCTACCTCGCTGGAGCTCGCCTGAGTCTTTGTCGGTTCAAGTCAACTCCACCACGGTGAAACGCGCAGTAGTCAGGAGCTGACGTGTATGCGGCTAACGTCTGGGAAGCCGAGGCAGCAGACAAACTTAGCGGTTTGCAGAAACTGATCGCCGACGTACCAGATGACCTGGCAGCACTACTGAAGTAGTA